TTTTTGAGACAGACTCTTACTCTGTTGCCCAGGCTGAAGTACAATGGTACCGTCATAGCTCACTGCAACCTGGGTTCATAACAAGGGATCCTCCCACCTCAGCCTTCCAAGTACCTGGGACTACAGGCATATATCCCATGCCTGGCCAATTAAGAAAAATTTTTTATTTTTAGAGATGAAAGGTCTTGCTATGTTACCCAGGCTACTCTTAAACTCCTAGCCTCAAGCAATCCTCCCACTGCAGCCTCTCAAAGTGCTGGGATTACTGGTATGATCCTTTGTGCCTGGCCAAAAGATTGCTTTAGAGTTTGAATTTCATCCTTTATGAACTCATTTTCTTATCTTTCACACATTTTTTAGTTTGTCATATAGATTACATTTTTCTTAACTTACATTTTTAAACTCTGTTTATGCCATTTTTTTGCCATGTAAAAATTTTAAATTTGTATGTAATAAAAACAATTGATCTCTGTCTTTAAAATTTCTGTACTTATTGCTAATGTTTTAAAAATTAAGGTTGAGAAGAGTTCATATATTTAGGGAGAACAGTGACAGACAGAATGATTGCACGCATGGACGAATAATGGTAATTTTGTTTTTGCACATGAGTAAGCCCATAAAGATGACAAATTGAGAACAAAATTTATTACTGATTCCTATTTTCCCACTGCAACCGGTTCCCACAGTTCTTACTGACTGCAGCAGAGCTGAAGATTAAACCATCAGGCTCATGAAAAGCCAACTTCTTATGCTTGAAAGAGGAAAAAAAAAGTAAATCAGACTCCTCCCTGTGATTTCAGTGTGAGAATTGGATGGGGACACACATGCAAACTACACCACCTGTGATGAGGTCCCCCCAGAAGGCTCCTCATGTCTTCACACTCCTAGTGAGTTTACTACACATGTGGGAATCCTAGCAGCAGTTACAGGCTAGGCTCAAGCTGTATATCCTGCAACTGTAGCTGCCAAAGGAAATCAGGCCTCTGTATTCGCCATCTACACTGGCCAGAGCACTTCCCCAGAGATGCACAAGCTCAGCTCCTTCACTCTCTTCCGTCCCTTACTCAAAAGTCACTCCAGGGAAGCCTATGCTGGCTATCCTATCTACAATTTAGAGTTGCCATTTCTTCCTTTCCTCTTACCTTTTGGCAATTTTTTTGTTGTTGTTGTTTATTTTTGAAACAGTTGTTCTGTCACCCAGGCTGGAATGCAGGGGTGCAATCTTGGCTCACTGCAACCTCTACCTACTGGGTTCAAGCAATTCTCCTGTCTCAGCCTCCTGAGTAGCTGGGATTACAGGTGTGCACCACATGCCCGACTGATTTTTGTATTTTTAGTAGAGACAAGGTTTCATGATGTTGGCCAGTCTGGTCTCAAATGCCTGACCTCAAGTGAACTGCCCACCTTGGCCTCCCAAAGTGCTGGGATTACAGATGTGAGCCACCACACCTGGCCCCCTCTGACCTTTTGTATCCCTCTTTCTTATTTTTTTCCCTTCATGCTTATCATTATCTTTATATATATATATTTTTTTCTTTTCTTTTTTTTTTTTTTTT